GATAATTTGCAATTCTGACCTTGTTTCTTATGGGATTGCTAATGATTCGTTACTATGTTTTCCAGGGGAACTGAATTTTGCAAGAATAATAGCTGAAACTGGCCTTCAGACCTGCTAGCTGTAGTACTGGAAGAAGACTGTGACCTTGAGTCAAGTCAATGGATGGTAAATACATTGTGCTTAAAAAACTGCTGGAGAACATCAAGGAGAGAAGAAAACTGACCCAGTGCCTAAATCTCTAGTTCTGGCCTCTCTTGAACAGTAGCTCAATATACCTACCTGAAAAGTGAGCACCAGGATTTATTCTTACTAAAGTGTGTCCTAATTTTTTAAGCTTTTTTTTTTTTTTTTTTGTGATGCCAGTTTGTCTTTTTTTCTGATCATGCTGTAAAACCTCCAACTCACTCCTCCCACCTTCATATCTCCAACCATTTAATTAACATTCTCCCTTTCCATCCTTCTGCAGATAATAAGCACAAGCTGTGAAATATCCCCCTTGATTATCAGAGCAGACAAGCAGTTTCCAGCCTGTTTTACACCTCAGCCTATTGTTGTATTCAGAAACTTATTTTCAAAGCTTGCTTGTGAGAGCACTCTATAAAGTAGTGTTAAAGCCTTGTTCCAGGTACAGACAGGGTATCTTCTGCTTCTCTCTCATTTACAAAGTTGCAGGAAGAAATGTGAAAGGTCTGACATTGATTCTTGCTGAGTCCATGTAGCCACCCCTCAGCTTTTCCTCAGCTCCCATCGTTCTTCCTCTTGCTCTGATTCCTGGGCTCTCACCTCTGCAGGCCTTCTGCTCAGGTCCCTTCCTCCAACAGAACTCTTTGCTTTCTATGGGATGTTCCCACCACCCTCCTGATTTACAGCCTTCATGCTTTGATTTGCATTTCCTTTTCTGTCCCTTTTTCCAAATATTGGAGTGCTTTTCTATCTGTTCAGAAAACTCATTTAAAGGCTTTCATTCTTTGTGTTCCACTGCTCATGTTCCTTCCTCAGTATTCTTCTCATTGCTGTGCCTATGTTCTCCCCTATGCCTCTACTCCCTCAGACCACCCTATGGCTTTTCCTCTTTTTTTCTCTTGGTTCCAAGACCCCCACTGCCATTTCTATCATTCCTTCTCTTCTTGCTAATTCAAATCAACAAACAAAAAATGCCTTTCACCTCAACTGCATGAGATTATCCTCTGCCACGGAAAGCTGACAGATAGAAACTGTTTAAATATCTTTGTGGCTTTTGAAAGTGAAAAGGAAAAGATTAAGCTGCATTTACTGCTTTAATTTGGAACTCATGAGCACTACCATAATGCAGGATTAGGTTCACACAGTTATTTTTTAAAGTGCATAACAATGTTCCTATTTGCTCACTAACAGATCATAGCAATGCAGTCATAACTTTTTACAGATGACAATGATCCTTAGGCAGAAGCCTTCAAAATAAAGCCTTTCTGAGTTTCCAGCTCTTGTAAAGTAATTATGTCTTGTACTACATTTACAATGGAAGTGGATGAATTCGGTCCAAAGAAACAGATCTTTTCAAAGGAAATCAGAGCAAGGGGAAGCAGCTCTGCAATCTCAGAGTTCACAAAGAAAGCAGCTGATCCTGCCTACACAGTGGGAATTTCTTTTAAAAAGAAAAGTCTAATTACAGCTGGCACTTTGAAGCCAAGTAATTCTACTTTGCTGAAAAGTGACATGATTCTTCTGACACTGCAAGCATGGGGCATGGTGTGCAGTAGTCCCCATTCTCTCACTTCTCATTCAAATTAAATACAATATTACAGGATTTTTTTTAATTTTTAATGTCAGAATTTCCTTCTAGAGTGTTGTGCAGGGGAGAGGGCCTAAAGAACAATCAGGCCAGCCAAACTCATGGAAAATGAAGATCTTGTTTAATCCTTTCATAATGGTAATAAACTTAGCACTAGTATTTATGCTTCAAAAGTATCATTTGAAGAATTTGCAAATGGTAATTTTAAAATCTAACAGACAACATCAGACGGTAAATCCACTTAAGGAAATCATATCCTCTGAAAATGAATGTCATTCTCCCTACTTGCAACAGCACTCACTTTAGTGTTTCCTGTAACACTTCAGTGTCACTCCAATTGGTGCTGGGGTCAGAAGTATGACTGAGAAAGCAGGCCATAGCGGTGTTATCTGGGAGGAAGGGTCCTTGCAGGTGAGAAATGTGGCACCTCTGCAGATCACTGGGGTGGTTATCAGCTGAGGGCTATCTGTATGGCCCCAGCCTTTGGACAGAGAGCTGGAGTACCAGACAAGAAATATGAGAGTAACAAAACCTGTAATGTATGCAAAGAGCAGACCGAAGGATGTTACTCTGTAGTTCTGCCTACTTTCTAGCAACCCAGAATATGGAGGTAAACCTCCTGGTGCTCCTGAATTCCCTGCTTGGGCTTGGATTCTCACCAAACACCAGCTTCCATTTTGCACTGATTGTTGCTTCTCAGCTGCAAATGTCCTGAATGGCAGAATCAGCCCATATCTGCAACCAGGCTGCTTCTGAGCTGTCTGAAAAGCAATCAGAGGTACATTGTTTGCAAAAGTCTGAGCTTTAAAATATCTTTTTGCTCCTTAACAGTCAGACAAGCAGCTGCACAACATTAGAGAATTGCAAAAGTTTATGTTCTTTCAGGCTGATAATAACAAAAAATCAGTTTCTTCCCTGTCTGCCAGATTTATCCATCATGAATGACAAAGTGAAAGAGCATGAAAAAAAAAAGGGAGGGAGAAAGAGAAGGCAAATTGTCTTCCCTTTGTGTACACAGCTCAACCAAAGCATTTTGCAATGTGGCTCACTGCCAGTACTGGAGGTGCTTGCTCCAGGCAGCGTAGCCCCTGCCATGGAGATGCAGCATTTGCAGGAGGCAGTTATAGATATTCACAAGCCCTATGCTCTATTTCAATTCAAATGTTGTATATAAGCCCCTCAGACCGGTCTATAGAATGATCAATCCTCTCGCTGAGAGGGAACACGTTTATAGACCAGTTCAGATGCCACATCTCCTATGAGGCAGCATAAGTTTCCTAGATCCAACCAAGGAAATGTTTGGAACAAAATTCTCTGCTTTCCAAAAACTGCATGGCCAGAACCAAGCAGTAAGTCCCATTTGTGTTTTGGTCATACCCAGAGAAGAATGTCTTAAAAGCACTAAGGAATTACGCACTTGATTATAAAGTTCTGAAAAGATCCAAAAAGATCCTGAGGTTTTGAATATTGGGAATTCACGCTCTGAAGGCCTCGACCTGTCCAGACTTGGGCAGCACTCAGTGATAAGGAAGGCATGTCCATAGAGAGAGATGGGAACAAAGGAATTCTCCTCTGACAGCACATTTGAACCCAACTCTTACAACACATAATCATGAATCTTGAGATTGGAAGATAGACTGGCTTGTGACCTGTCCTATGGAAGAAGTGCTTTGTTGTATGGAAAAATTAAATGTGAATTTACACAAATGATATAGAGGAAAGAAAGAAGAGGAAAATGATTTTTCATCCTCACAGTCCATCCTAGACCAACGCTATCTGGTATTCAGTCCCTGTTCCAAAGAACATCCACATTTTGTTTCAAGATACGGCTGTTCTGGCTTGTAATAAAATGTGATTTCAAACCCAAGAAGTGTTGGACTGCACAGTGAATGTGCACTTAAAATTACTGCATTTGGGATGTGATCATTTTTAAGGAAGATAACATCTGTTTGAAAGCTGAAAAAGAATTGAGCTCATGAGTTTGCAGGAACTTATTAAATAACAGAAAACAGATTACACGGAAATTACAAGCATTATGAGAAATGGAGTCAAAGTTTGCTAACACTTCCACACTACAGAGAGTGCAAAGAATGTTTGCTAATACTTATTGGATCAAGCTAGTGGTGGCGTGTCCCCACTGAAATAACAACCATGCAATTTATAAATAACATAAATTGCTATACCATTGCATCTTGTCCTTGCAGCTTTTCTTTTCTCCTAGGACAGTTTGCACCATATTTGAGGTTTCTTCCTCTCTAGTCATGGGGACCTATGACATTGATATGCATGGTGGTGAAGTGCACGCTGTCTCCCAAACACAAATAGCCAAGGTCTGGGATGGGCACTGCAGGATAAAAGCCTGCTGAGAACTTGTTGACTTTGGAGCATCAGCCCTGCTGGAGAACAACTTCAGCCCTGAGAGGGATTTCAGAAGTAATTTGAAGGGGACAAGTTGGCTTTAAGTACCAGGATGAACAGCATTAATGGAATGAACAGTCATTGAAGGTATAGGCCAAGCAGAAGAGTATGGGATAGGGAGAAGTGGTGAAGGGAGGAGTGCAAAAGGGAAAATTGATACAGTTAAGCCCACAAAATGAAAGGTTTGAGAGCTGGCAGTCTAGAACATGCTTCAGTGCTGGGGAAGCTCATCATAGTCATGCAGTAGCGCAGCGATTCTTCATACTGTCTAATAAACTCTGTCAGCTGCATGAAGTGACCATGTCTACAGCTCTCAGATAAAATTAGACCATTTTCTCATCAGAAAATAAAAATACACATTGGATAAGAACAAACTGGAACTTATTTGTATTTATTTTAATTCATTAATGTTAGTTGCTGTAGCATTCAAGGGATTTCCCGCATAAAAATAGTAGAAAATGATAAAATAGATGTTAAAAACATATTTTCTTCCATTATGTACTTTTTACTGCTAAGATGTTCACTGACAGCACGTACAAACAAAGTAGCAGCAGTCACTGCTGCTTTCATTCTCTCTCAAAGACAAGTTCTTCTTGCCTCTCTCCTCTGTCAAGATGACTGGCAAGACCCAGCCAGCAGATTCAACTTCTTCAATAATGCTGCCCTTAATGAGTTTGTTTACAAAAGTTCTAGTGGTATACTCTCACTGAGCACTTGTGGCATTACAGCTTCTGTTGGACAAATGCCTTATTGGGTTATATTTTAACTTTTTTGCAAAAACTTTTGTACACCTAAGTATTTGTTACTCAAGTCATGCAGAGAAGCAGAAAACTTGCTTACTATGCTAATAATCTGAAAGTCAGATCTCTCCTAGATCCCATTTAAGTGCTGACTGCCACTGAGTAAGGATGTCTTTCTGGAGATTGCTCCTTTTGGAGTTTACTATGAGCCTACAACACTGGTGAGTATTTCTATTTATTTTGATTATCTTTCCACCACAGTAATCTTACTAAACCTAACTTCTGTATACCTGTTGGTTGTACACCTATTGATTGTACAATTGTATACCTATTGTTTGTACAAGTCCCAAGCAGATAATTTACAAGTTCTTCTGAAAGTGTGCCTTCTAATGTATTTTGGACTCCAGTTCTCCTGGTGAGAGTGTCTGCAAATAGCGTTTATTGGAGTCTGAGTCCATCATCAGGTGGAGAAAATTCTTTTTTGTGGAACTGGGTCAGGACAAGGGTATGGAAGCCCACACTTCAGTCAGCAGAAGGCAAACATGTACTACATAACAGAAAAATACACAGAGGCAACAGAAAAAAGTCTTGAGCACCTGTGTGCAAGGGAGGAATAATTTTATCTCAAAGCCTTCCATCAATTTCTATGCTCTGATTTAGCTGATGGTGGATCTAAATCTCTTTCCTTGTCATACTTAATATTTATTTAAGGCAGAGCAATTTAGTTGTCCATCAAAACCAGACAGCAGTACTTAGGAGCTGCAGCACTTTTTAAATCTCTTCCCCAGCAAAATCAGTTTTGCTAAAAGAAGCTGTGACCAACAGTTCCATAATCAGTCCCCTGCAGTTGTCAGCTTCTCTAATGCATAAATACGACCTAGCTATGCTGTCTCCCCAAGCCTTTAATCATCCCTTTTGACTCTGAGATCCTACTGCCCTATCTATGACAATTGCAAAGTGTGCTCTATAACTTCCCTTGGCCATGTGCCTTATCAAGGGAAGGGGTGGTTACTAAACCTCATGTAGCTCCATGACCTTTCCGAAGCTACCAGCAAACTGCTCGTGCAGCTGTCAGCTGGTTGGTTCGTGTCTGGCTAAATTTTTTATTATGTCAATAACAATCAGCATCTGTTGTGGGTCCCACACTACTGGGCAGATCTTCAGGTGTGCATTACAGCTCTAAGAGAGGGGGCACTCGCCTAGATAAGGCCAGGGAGCTTCCTTTTTCATTGTTGCTCTGGTTTTGTTGTTTGTATGCATGAGAAGCGATGCCTCTTCTGACCACCTTGGACCAGACTTGACTAACATGGCTAATAGGAAAAGCTATCCAATGAAAGCCAAAATTTCCTTGTAACTTAAAGTTTCTATTAAAAGGATTAAATTTTAATCCACAGTGAACTTGTTATCCTACACTTTACTGAGTTATGTTTGAATTGATCAGTCATTTCCCTGGAGAGGATGAGGTCTCAGGGAAGACTGCAAAGTGCTGATTGTGCTGCTTATCCTTTTTTCATCTTTGAAAACTCATAAAATTTTATGCAAGAAACTGCTGTATCTGCTCATGTGACTTATTGTATAGCACTCTTCACTGAATATTTGAGGATAAAGACTAAAATCAACTTTAGATAAAATGAATGGCACAGGGATAACCTGTAGAAACCTCAGGAGAACACTGCTGGCAAAACAGATGTGTTCTGATCTCTCTGAAAGTAGGGAGGGTATAGAAAGGTTTCTGGGGCTTCCACAGGTAGCCTTCACTCTCCTGCACTGAATAACATCTTCCAGAAGCCAGCAACAGCATTGGAAAAAATGTCTCTGATCTCCAAGCAAGACAGCCAGTAAGGTCAGCCTTTTTTTTTTTTTTTTTCCCGCTATGCCGGGGACATCCCAGGTGACTCCAGTCAGCACCCAGCAAACCACAACATTCACCATCCCAGAAAAGACGTTATATCAGTCTCTTCTGGATCATAACATTTTGAAAAATACACCAAGGATGGAATTTATTTTAAAGTAGAGTGATCCACTGCACAGGAATGGCTTCTGGAGAAACTCCTTCTGTTCCTGTGAACTGATGTTCATCCATGCAAGGTTTCTGGTATCAGGGATAATAATACCACACCTGGACATAAATGGTAACAGGACACACTTTAAACTCAGACAGATTGCAGTGCTGTAGGAATACACTGTGCTCAAGCACTACTTATTGCCAGGATTCACAGTTATGTAATAGACCTTAGCTTGCTTAGGCAAGGATTCCTGTGATATTTTTAGCCAGTTTTTTTTTTCTCCTTTTAGTTCAGAGATTCAGAACTCCTGGAGTTTTCAATCTCTGGGTAGGTTTCCTCCCCTTGTCTTTCTCCTTTAGATAAGAGCATTTTCCTTCCCTTTTTTCCCCGTCCTGCCTGTTGAGCTGTTCCTGTTTATGGGATGTTAACTCAGCACAACAGGAGACTGTAAAGCACTCAACTCACAGAGAAGACATTTCACATTGTTGAAACTCCTTGCAAACTGAACTTCTAATTCCTACAGCATCCATAAAAAAGTGTACAACAGTTCTAAACATCAAACTGCTGCATTCAGTCTTCTTGCTGCATGCTTACTGGACAGACTCAGACACAGCTGCCTACGTGAAGGCCATGGAGAGTAAAGCAAATTGCGAGTCATCCAACACTGACACATGACCTATATTTCTCAAGATAGCTTAAGAATCAGCATCCTATCAATATTTTATTCACACTTTGACATCAGATTTCCTCCAATATCAGATTTGGTAAATTTTGTTACAACACAGTTTTTCTTTTACTGATCTGACTATCAAAATGATAAACATCTTCAGATTCTGAGCCTCCAAAGTCCATGCAGAATTTAAAAAAAAAAAAGAAAGTAATGGAAATGACTATAGTCGGTTCTAAGTTGGGCACATTTTTATGATGTTTTACCCTTTTCTCATGCTCAGGTTTGGGGCACTGACAGTGAGCAACTCCCAGGTGCAATCTCTATTAACAGCTCTAAAGTTGCTCTACTCCAGTAACACCTGGCTCCCAGTTTCAGTATTCATTCCTTGCTTATCTTGCATTATTACATATGTCTAACTATGTTCTGTTTCCACCTGTACTGCTTTAGATCTGGGATTAACTCAGTTTTGGGCAGTGGCACAGGCTGCCCAGGGCAGTGGTCATAGCACCAACATGACAGCGTTCAAGAAGTGTCTGGACAACATTCTTGGACATACATTCTAATTTTTGCTGGTGCTGTGTGGAGCCAGAAGTTGGACTCCATGATCTGTTTCCATCCCTTACAACTCAGAATATTCTATGATTCTGTGACTCCCCACTAGTGCTCACCCACTTTGTACCAAAGGTATCTGTTAAGATCTTTGCTATTACTGAGAACACTTCATAAATTAAAATAATAAGACAGCTAAAATAAAGTGTTACCAAATCTTAATCTCTGAAAGTGGTATGAAATATTTTCCAGTAAATAAAAGCAGAAAGAACTGATGATCTAGAGCTTTCATCTTATTTATGTGAAGGGCTAAAATAAACCTAGACACTAAACTTTGATGAATGATAAAAATGTGTGGTCTAGAAAATAGCTAGCACAACATAGGCATGTGTTGGACTTCAGCTGAAAATGTGGACATTTGTTAGTCACACACTTTGGTGGGGGAATTCACCACAGTTTGAGGGGCTCCATGTTAACTTCAAAAGGAATGTAGCTATTTCTGTTCGTTATTACAAGAAATCATTTGTAGATCTAGATTTCTCTGGAAAGAATGCTAACATTTCCAAACGTCATAGGGCAGTATTGACATATTCTTTGGAAAGGGATCACGTTCAGTTTAAAATATAGATTCAAGTGCAGTATTTTGGCAGACACGAGAGATTTTTTTTCCAGGTGAAGGTACTGAGTAATTGGTAATATCTTTTTGTTTTTTTTCCTCTGCTTTTCCATGTATAAGATAAATGTGGAAGAATAAGCATATTTCCCTTCCCATCAAGAAGAAGAAGAAGATTTGGTTCATGATGAAGGTATTGGAACATCTTTGAAAAACTTGCTCTAGCTTGGCAGAACATACAAACCCAGAAAAAAAAACAATGCTTAAATCTTGGATGCTTGTGGCTGAGAGAAGCTTTTCCTAGGACACAGTCATATCCCTCCTAATGCTCATTCAGAACAGGAGAGGAGGACATTTGGGCAATTGTATCAAGAGGAGCACATGGAGGCATCAGGTTTTATGGCCCACAGGACACCTTCAGCTAAACACACTGGTGGGTTTGACAGCCATCAAACAGCTTTGGTTGGAAGGGACCTTGAAAATCATTAAGCTCCAACCCCCTTGCTGTGAGCAGTGTCACCACCCACCAGCCAGGGCTGCCCAGCTTGGCATCCACCTTGGCCTTGAATGTATCCAGGTGTTTGACTCAGAGATTGTGAACTGCTCCTGAGCAGCATTAGCATCACACTGAATCTCCTAACATCAGGCAAACATCTAACATCTGATTCTAGCATCAGTAGCTGGCTGGACACACAGGGTAGACAGGGTAAGGGGAAATCCAGGATCGAAGTGACATATGGTCCAATAAGTTGTTAAGTCACATCAATGTTATGCATAAACCTCATCTTAAAAATTAAAAAAATAAAATATAGATTAAAAATTACCTATTACAGTGGTATCTGAGCATTACATTCACACTGAGTTCTCACCAGGTGTTCATTCTCTATGCCTAGATACTGATGGTGAATCTCAACACTCAGTTCAGCTGACAAACTGTCACTTTGTTATGGGATATGAGATGGTCCAGAACACCCCAGACACATCTGTATGGGGCTGACAAGACCTGTGGGATTACCCATGCACTTCTGGAGCCAAACAGATCTGGGGTATTCCAGATGTTACTACATACCTGTATGTAGGTAACTGAGTCCAACACTGTCACTGTTTTATGTACACAGAAGAATTAAAAAATACATATTTTAAATTAAAAAGTACAGATTCAAAGTATTTTTATTCCAAGTGGTGCATTGAGAGCCTTGTAGGGTTTGTCTGATGTCAGTGACAAGCTGAAAATCTCATTGAAGCAAATTCCTTCTCTTGTCCCTTCAGCCATTTGCCTGTCTTGCCAGATTTCATACTCCCTTGTTTGTTCTTAGCTCAGCAGATGGAGACTAGTTTAGAAACAAATGAAAAAGGAGTAAAATGCATGTGCTAAATAAAGTAATGTATGTTAATGGGCATCCTACAATTTCTTCCATTTTAGCCAAAATTGTCTCGAACAGCAAATGAAAGGGAGAGGATGGGAAGCAGCTGTTTCTACTCTCTGTAGCAATTGATTGTAAACTGGCCTGACACTTCACCCAAAGAGTTTGCCATGGACATTTGATTCAGCAAATCTGCCTCAAACCCAGAGCTGAGGCACTGCTATCTCAGTCCTTCACCAAAGTGACCAACCACCAGATGTTCAGGACTATTAAAAACAAACAGCCAATCAATAGCATATTTCAGATTGACAGCAACACATTCATTTCACCACCGGAAAGAATCTAAACACTTAAGTAAGTGTGTAGGGTAATGACACCCCACATTGGCTGCCCAGGGGGTTGGCTCTAGACCTTCATGTATCAGGCTTCAAGCAGAGGTGAAAAGAAAATAAAAATCTGTCTCCTCCATAAGATATTCCCCTTTAGAATAACTCTGTTCTCTATGTGGAGCTGCCACGTCTGCTCAGGTATGGCACAAGACAGGTATAGCAGATGCCACACACAAACTGCAGGGCATGTGCTCAACTAAATGAAAGGAGAAAACAAAGAGAAAAAAAAAGTAAGTTAAAATTTAACTAACATTTGGGTTTAAAACTGTACTCAATCATTGTAATTTGGTTTGACTGAAGGTGCAGGTCTTAAAATGAGATAAAAGTAGGATCTAGTGTTAGATTTGAAACATAAGGAATTAAACAGAAAAATATGTTTAAATGCAAATAATGATTTTAAGGTGTAACAATGAAGATGTAAAGAGACATCACTTCAGTTTGTCAGAAAAATTGTAATAAAAGTCATACTTCCATAAGGAGAACATAAATAAGTAAATTAGTTTTCCCTTCTGAAAAAAAAACTAAGAACAGCATGTCCGGATTTTGAAGGATGAGGAAAAAGTGAAACAGCTGATGATAATACAAAATACAGCACAAAGAGAAAAATAGTAAAGGAATGTATTATAAAATGCATTGCCAGAAGTTGCATAACGAATGCTGGTATGAACAAACAGAGCTGGAAATGCACTCCTGCTTTCCAAGAAACTTCCAGTGAGTCAGGACTGCAACATGACAGAAAAGGAGGACTGCCTTTTCCCTCTGAAGCAGTGAGCATTGGGAACTTTCTGTACCCTGAGAAGCACATGTGCTCCAACAGCATTTCAAACAAGCTCATGTTTCGGTCATTTTCTGTCATCTCCATGGAACTGAGCAAAACACTTTAACAAGAGAAATAAATAATATGTTAAGTAGAGTCTGGAAGTATACTTATTTTTCCCAATAAATCTGAGTGTTAATTTCAGTCACCTTTTGTTTTCCTGCATTTTCCTGGTCTCCTTTCTCAAATGAGATAAGAAGGAAAGGAAAGAACCCATGGGGAGGGAGAGGCTGTTCACCTGAACAAATACCGGATCAGCACTTGTCGTGTCCTGAGGTACAACCACTGTGAAAGCTATAGGAAAACCAAAAGAAGATTGTGGTCAGCTACCAAATCTTTCAGCAGCTCAGTCCCCAACTGTTCTGAGAAGAGAGGAGAGTTTACCATTGCTGGTGCAAGCATAAAGGCTGTGTTCTCCCTCCTTCTGCCCCAAGTTCCCCCCTTGCAAAAGAATTGCTGGCTGGAAAATATAACTCCCACTGGGCATGAGCACTGCAGTAATTATAGGCTGTTCCTCAATAGCTATTTCTTGTGGTATGTTGTGTACCAGCTGAAGGAGCTCCCTCAGTATCCAAGCTCCCACAGTGTTCTCCTCTGCTAGAGCCAGCACACGTCCATCTGTGTGCCTGGACCATGGCTGACCTGTGTAGGACAGCCTGTGTTGGGGTTGGTGTACCCCAAAGTGATGTTTGCAACAATGGATGAATATGTCTGCAATGGCATGAGAGCTGAAGGGGAAAGTGTGTGTTGGACTGGGGAAGAGGTGGCTAAAGGAAGGCAGAAGAGCCACACAAGGAGATGCCTTAGAAAAAGATGGATATTGCACACCTTAGGATATTCCTCTGGCACAACTGGGAAGCATTTTCATTTTCATTTCACTTTTTCATTTTGAAGAATTTGCATTTGCACAGGGGGCTTGAGATCCCATAACAGCTTATTAGTGAGCATTAAATAGAACAGGTCATCAAAGTTACGTTTGTATTAATACACCTACAGCAGTAAATAACACAAAATGCTGCTGGCTGTGAAGAACATGTGCAATTATCCTTTGCAGTCCCAGTTAGCAGTATGGACCAGCATGAGTTAGTATGTACCTTTTGTTCTGAAGACCTAGTAACGTGTTAACAAAGATCGAACGTGTGCAAACTTGCATTCTCCAGGGCTTGGAAGATGCAAAGTGCAAAGATTACTGCCAATGGAACTCTATGGACTCCACAAACTTTGCAGAGGTCACACTAACATTTTTCACAGCAGTTCCTAGGGAAACTCTTCAGGAAGCAGTCTTGCTGTATAAACACTGAACCGACATTTAGAACTTACTCTGAGGAGTGGGATAAGATGAAACAAAATGTGTACATTTCACATCTTCTAAAAAGAGTAATTTAAATTTGCGAAGGTATGAGTTTCTGGTCAAGATATTAGATAGCAAGACACTGTCTATTGAGAGAAAATATTGTCAACTATGTATCAAGAATAGCCTACGATGATTTATTTTACAAGAAAGTCCAGTGAATTTTTTGACTTCATCTAGGATCATACATATGTTAATGTCCTAGTGCAGATCAGAAAGGCGTTCTGTTCCCTCTTCCCATGATTTTATTCACATCAGAAGGAGCTCTCAGAGATCGTAAAGAGCTTCCTTTGGGTAAAACCAGAGGCAGCTCCAAGCACAGTCCTCATGTGCTTCAGATCCAGGGTTCAGCCCGGGGCCCAGCTACAGCCAGTCCAAACTAACACCCGGAGATGCTCATATGGTGTAGTTGCTTACAGCAAAGATTTTACATTATTTATGTGCTCTCAGGATCAGATGTAGACATAACCTATAGTGTTTTATTTCCACACATTATTAGCATCATTTAACATTTTAAAGAATGAGAGATTACTCAAGCAAAGCACAACTTTTATATGCTGTTTTGACATGTTGGAGAGAAGAAAGCCACGAATACTATACTACAGTATTTCTCGAGAAAATCCACTTCTTTGACATTTATAATGGATTCTGTATTGTTAATACTTTTATTTCCTTTTTTTTCCTTTATCTTTTTTGTTAGCCTGAAGCAACAGATTCAGCATTATATCCAATCAGCAAGTTGCCAAAAATTTATCTTCAACATTCCAATTGACTGTGGTAGATTTGGCTAAGTTAAACACTGTGGCTGTTTATGTTCAGCGTTATTTGTGTTGAATTTTGCTGTCTCTGTGAGGCATATATGTAGTGCCCACATAGAACAACATGTAATTTCTTCAGGTGTGATAGTGCAGTTGGTAAAGCTGTGCAAAAGCTTCAGATATTGATCATCCCAGTTTCTGCATTACTCAAACATTTCCACTGAATAGTAGCCAAAAATGCTTAAAAAATCTACCAAATAGACAGTGGGAGAATCATTCCCAGTATAATTCAGAAGAATCTGAAATGGCAAATCTTGGGGTTTAGATCTGTAGAGCATTTGGAAGTTGATGTAGAAGATCAGAGCAGGCACCAGTCTGTAACTCTCTTCCCCTGGCTGCAGTAGCTAGTAGCAGATTCCTTGGGTCAGTGCAAGAACCACAAATGAGAGTTTCATAAATTAGTTGTAAGCTGAATGAAGAAAAATATTATTTTTTCAATATCAAGGAGTTCCAGCTGTAGAAATGAAGCCAGTCAGAGTGGTTAAATATTATTCTCCAGTGACTTTCTAAATACTGGCGAATGCATCACTGAGCTTTACTTCTGTACAAACAGGATATGGGCTGAGCACGGTATGGGCAATTCTACCAGTCAAGCACTTAAACCATGCAGAATGCATCTATTTGTAAAGAGGCGTGACGTACTATTCACTGGCTATAAAGAACAATAATGCAATATGGAGTCTATTACAGTGCCTAGTAATACAGTGGAAGTATATACTCTTTTATAAGGGCAAAGTAATGATTGCCATAATAAGGACGTGCAGTCATTAACAGTATATACGTGTACAGTGTTATTTTTCCCCTTTTATTGCTAAGCAGTAAGAAATGTAACAGTGAAAGGTCCATCCAAATTAGAGGAGATTATGTCTGAGAAGTTAGAACAGTCAAAAAACAATGTCAGCTGTAACTGAAAAGCTATCTGGAGGCCAGCTGAGAGGGTAAGAGGTGCAGATGCATGAAACAAAGCAGGACGGCTTGGCTGAAAACAAACTGGGGATGAGTAAAGTTCACAATGATAGAGGTATTGAAGTAAGAGAACATACAGCATCTACAGGAAAGACATCTTGTTCTCAGGAGGTTGAAAGAAATTAGATGAGCGCACTTGCTCAAACTTGGGGTCTACTTTCCACAGATTCAACAAATGCATATTTCTTACTAACAAATGACCCAAAAGAAAGAAAGAAAAAATGTGCCCTGGGATACATTTTTACAAAGAATGGAAAGCTGGAGTACACAGTGAATCAGGGATGGCAGAGAAAGGGGAAAGGAAAACAAAACTAGAGTAGGTAATATGATAAATGTGGTCCAAAGGGAGCCTCACTAAATGATGCCAGGTTGACATATTGAATTAGTGTGTAAAAACCAGAGACACTCTTCAAAATATAAATACAACAGGGATATACATAAATGTTCCCAGCTGATATGTAGTAAGTAGCCCAGAAAAGGTAGTTGCAGGTAGGAGAGATGTGGGAACATTTTAAGGGCAGGGTCAAGGCTGGGAAAAGGTGAGACAGCAGAGTAAGAAGATATGAATTTGGGTGCACACAGGAGCACAGGGCTGGCATCAGAAATGTGCTGCTCACAGGAGGGAGAGGAGCAGCTGCCCAGCACTCTTCAGGTCATTGCGTCCCATAAAAGCCTTTTGTGCTCACCAACACAGCAGGTACAGCCATATACCCTGCAGCTGCCTTTCAAACTTGACTTGTTGGCAGTATTCTCGTTGACAGATGTTTTGCACTATTCAAGAAGAATAGACAAGATCTTGCCTGCTGTTTTCTTACATCCTGGATCCGTTCACAAGATCTTACATTGAGATAATTTCACAGCTGCTTTATGAGTTCCGTAGATTATTACACAAATATTTACTTTTCAGAAGGAGAAACCAAGTGCATAAGATTCAAGCCTCAAAAGCTTTGTTTCTTCCATTTTCCCCCTGTGGGAGTTTGACAGAATGAAACAAATGAGAAAGATAACACTGAACAGTGCTCTGTGCCATTAAAAGGTCAGAGCATCACCTGGGAGCTGCAGTGCTGCAACATCCCAGCAGCCAGCAAAGCACAGGGAAATACAAGGAAATGCCATATGGAGGGCCTCCCTAGCCCCAGCATTAAGTGCTGTTTACAGCAGTCATTTGAAAGCAGCCTTTAGCACACGTCAGTTCAGTCCACATGAGACGGGGACACATGCCTTGCCCTGTAGGGAGGTACATTCTTACTCAGTGACCTGCCTTTATTGTTCCACCTCTTCACAGAAGAACAGGGGTTGAAAATTTTCAAGATCCCTGTGCTGCTTTGGAGCCAAAGTGTCATCTTTAAGGCAATTTCAGATTCAAAATGAGCTCCTAGTTTCTCTGCATTGAGAAGTGCTCTGAATTGAGGGTTGTACCTGGTGAGCTCCAAAGGTCTCTTCCAACCTCAACCAGTCTGTGAATTTTGGGTACCTCTGCATCACTGAAGACAAACAAATGCCAGTTCTGGAAAAGCAGGTCCCACTCAAACAACTTGAGATTGCACAGGCACTCAGGCCCCAAAAAACTCAGACTGCTGACTACTTTGGAAAACCTGTGGCCAAGCTGCTGTCTGTTTTCTGGCTGTAATCACACATCACGTAAGTCTGGATCACAAAATGATATTCTTACCACACAGGAAGGGCTCAGTCTGAACTGACTCCAAGGGCTACATTTAGGTATTTGTTTTCATTTAAATCATGTGCAACACCATTTCAGACTGCTATCAGTAAAGGCAACTGGTAGCATGCAGTAATAGATACACAGGAGGAACATCAATTGTTTTTCTTTCTTAGGTAGATGTACTTATGTATTTAAAAATAGATAAAACAATTAAATTGCTATTACGAGTTTTTAGAGGCCATGTACAAGTCATTCTCACTGTATCAATACTCCTTCACTATATTTCACTGATTGGATTCTGCTCTACAAGTAACAGT